GAGAGATATAAGCCCCTGAAATAATAAATTCCTATTACAAATATACTGAATTATTTATATTGTTATATTGACCAAATAATAATTTATTGGCCAAATGAATAATAAAAATTTATATTGTTAATTTAAATAAGAATTAAAATTGTTAATTTGAATGTTTGAAATATGACACAAGATAGGGGCACCTCTAGTGTCCGTTATCAAATGGTTACAGGACAGACGGACACCCGTTTAATGGGTTATATATATAGATATCTACAGTTCTCAAAGTGTAGGTCACAAGAAGATCTGTGATCTGTGAGGGTCACAACAGGTTTTACAATTGCTGGACATGTTTATCCTGTAGACTTAACATTGTACCTTTGTCACGCCACCATACCTGAAATATTGCACCTTTCTCAAATATCTCTTCAGCAGAAGCATCTACAGGATAAGAGCTTTAATTTGATACCCGAACAATATTTTCAGCCCCAGCTGTTTATTCAAACTAAGTTGGAAAACTGATTTCAGTCTCTTTCAGATTTATTATTTCTCTTATAAGATGTAGAATCTAAGAAATTATCAACCCAAGAAACATTTTGCCACATTTGATAGCATTATAACTTCATCCAAGTTAAAAGTATTTTTATGCAAACACTTTTCTAAAAATAAGATATCAGTAAAATTTTTCTCAAGCTTTAATTCAGGTTAGAGTCCAGTTAACTTAATTTATTAACACTTAAAAATGAATTATTTATTTTTGCACTCAAGAAAATACATTAACAAATGATAAAATACATTGGGTGATTGGTTAACGAACATAATCCATTCCAAGACTGTGTTCACTATCCGAATTGTTCATTAACCAATTATCAATTTACCATAGATTTTTATGGGAATTTGATTAATCCATTCTGGAGACCCCGAAAAATAAAAAATTATATACTTTCTTACTACGTTTATTTATATGTAATAATAATAATACATATACAGTATACACAGTCTTGCATTTTTACATGTTTTTTCTGTTTGTGGTGTGTTAAAGAATCTGCCCAATGTCGATGGCTTTTCTCTCTTCAGGATTTTTCGGAATTAATAGCATTGTCGTTGTAGAGATCCCTAAGCCTAATAACCTCAACCTGGTTTGGATGCCATTCTAAGACCACTGTTCTGACATCCTCCCACTTCTTCAAAACATCATTAATAGCAGATGTAGGCATTAATCCTCTTTTTAAGAAGAAAACATACCTCACAGAGTTTCTTGGTGTTCTTCATTCAAATGTTCTTGGTATTGTTCTGTTGTCAGATTAGTTTCAGGTTCTATTATGAGCTCTTCAATGTTCTTTATTTCTCAGATGTAATTTTTGGTACTCCATTAACTACTTGAGTCTTCTTGATTATACTGTATCTTTTTTATATAAGATTGAAACTGCAGCCTACTATAGACCTGTTCAAGCCATACAACCCAGCAACATCAGACAACTCTCTACCTTTGCTATTATATTCTCACCTTTCAAAAATAAAAACCAATGCAAAACTTAACGAGTGCCTGCCCGACAGTCTCGTGAATACTATAAAAAAATTTTCTGTCAGAAAAATAAAAGGCTGGAATTACAAGGGAGAGTTTCAAAGTTCGGAAAAATACTATCTGATCAGTATATACAGGGTTGAGCGGTGATGTTGACATCTCTCACACTCTGAAAAGTTTCGAATTGTTGCCTGAAGACCAATCGGTATTCATTATTTTACGTCACTTCTTCTTGTGTTTGTTCTGTAAGGTGTTCGTTGTCCGAACATAAAAATCTTTCGTAAAAGTGATTTCGCTGAGATTTTGTTAGGTTCCCAAGATGTGAAAAAAGAAATGTGAAGACTATTTTATTGTTTCTTCTGTTCTTGCGAATTTTAAAGTATATTTACTTTAAAATTTACTAACCTGGATATTTTTTTCTATAATGCAGAAATTTTCATAAAGCCATTTAAGTATTAACAAAACTAAAAATATTTAATTTTTGCAATTTAAAAAAATAAATTTACTTTTTGAATTTAATCATTAGTTCATGTATACAGTATTTATTATACTATTTAAGAATTACTTAAGTGTCAATGGCACTGAGGGCAATTATTTTGCTAATTTCTAATAATAACTACTACTGATATAAGCTAATTTTTGAAAATTAGAATTAACAATTTATGTTTTATCAAAATTTCCTTAAGCTATATTTTCCAATAATTTAATTAAATCAATGATTTCCAATAAAATTAATGTTATATCATGTCGTATAAAAATTAAAAGATTTTTATAATCACTTCATATACTAACAACTTAATTCTTTTCATTCTCAGATGATAAAAAAAAAAGTAAAATTATAAATTTTTTAAAACTCATTTTGTTAAAAAAAAGAACTCAAATGAAAACAACTGATTTTATAATTTTCCAAAATCACTCAATTAACTTTATTTTATTTTAGGATTATTGTTTTGTGAATTAAATTATTCAATAATTGTCAATGTACATAATCTATGCAATCCTTTTATTTATCATTATATTATTATTTTTTATTTATTTGAACATGTATTCAAATGAAAACACTTCTAATATTAAATGAAATATATATATATATATTAATAAAAAAAAACAAATACCTAAATATGAAAGTGACATACTTTCAAATACTATCATCTTATTCATAATCGGCCCACTTATAGAAAAATGATAAAACATCCAAGTTCAAACTTATCTGTTCATTTTTTACAAATTCAGCAAATTATCAAGCAACTTCTATACTACTACAGACTCATTTTGTATTAAAAGCGTTTGTTTTTTTTTTCCACGTTCCAAAAATCAAGACATTAAAGAAACCCGAAGACGATCGAAAATGTTTATCCATTAAAGTTTTTTATACTAGAATTTTAGCGTTTTACAGGTGTGTAATTATCATTAAAAGTGTTTACCGAAATCTCTAAAAACAAGGCTAATGTACCCAGAAATGCTAGATAAAAATACTTTAATAAGTGAAGAGATTTTTTTCTCTCATTAACTTATTATATTTCAATTTTAGCATTTGTTTACTATATGATCTTCGGCATTATATTCTTCGCTTAACGTTAAATTCTTATTAAAATCATTGCTAAACGAATCGGCGTGGAAATTAATTAAAGATAAACTTTTAAAACAGAATAAGCACGATTAATATTTATCTCAACTCATCATCAAATCTGAAAAGATAAATCAATAAACATCATCTCAAATTATATATATATATATATAATCATTTGATTACATTTAAGTCTCATCCGAATAAAATTGTATAAAATAAAATAAAAAGAAGAAAATTATAATTGGCATTTATCAATGTATAATTGAAAAGCGTTCCTCGTTAAGTAAATATACAAAAAAATATTGTAATAAATTGAGTAACGTCAATCATACAGTGACTGATGGCATATGATCCAATTAAAACACGCATTAGATTATCAAAAATGATCAATTTCACTCAAGTTACGTCACGTGTATACCGATTATATTATATAAAAGTTATTATATTTTGATTTAAGAGATTGTTTTTACCTGGGTACACAATTCGGTGGCGTCGTACCAACTTCCCAGGCTCCATAATATTTCATTGGAACTGGTTCTCTTCGTAAATTCTCGTCCTGTTTTTCATTCATCTTGTTGAAAAATATATTCGGTCGACAGTAATTAATACATGTTATTTTCTTGATCAATTAAGACACTTTTAAATATCACTTTTAAGGTAAAAAGTCGTTGTTTCCTGAGACGATCACACGAAACACGTCAACCATCTTCAGACGATCACCCTCTACTTTCGTTCCATTGGTCGATGCGGATCACGTGAGCTGGGCGTGACGTCACGTGAATAATCGATATATTTTATATATTTTCGATACATTCGGTATATTTGAATGAAGTTTGAATATAATTCGAATTAAAATTGTCGAAATTTTCGATTTTTCGTAATAAAATCTTCTTTCCAGATATTTTTCTCTTTGAAAATATGGATAAATGATAGTTCTAGTTTATCACGTGACATAGAGTAACACTTTTTAAATGTTTTCAAACAAAATTCTGTACGCATGAAAAATGTTTTACCAAAATCAATAGTTTTTAAACGAATTAAACGCCTGAAATAAACTTATAATTACTCTTTTACCAAATATTAATTATAAAATTGCATTATTGTTAACTCCATTTAAAAAAAAAAAAAAAAAAATTATTTTAAAATTTGAAAAATATTTATTTTTATTTTTTCCTCAATTATTATTATTATTTGTCAATAATAATAATAATAATAATAATCATTAAAAATCCATTTTATTTTTTTATAAATTAAAATTTATGACAGGGAATTATAGTTTTGTCGACATAAAAATTCGTTTAAATTATCCCGAATAATAAATAATAAATTTATTCGTTTAATTTAAAATAATATAAATGACAATTAAACGTTTAAATTACATTTAAACTAATTAAGTTGCTTTTGTAAGTACATTATAAAAAAAAGGATACAAAATGCCAGTTACGTAACACAAATTAAAACATTCGAATAAATTACATTTAAATTTTTCTTTTAAAATCGCTTATTAATGAAAACTCGAAATATTCGAATTAATATTTATAAAATCAAAATGAAAATTCTGTAGATGAGAATTTCCTATTCAATGATGCAATTAAGCTTAAATTAATTGATAATAATTAATTGAAATGTACTTAACTCATTAATAACATTTAAATAATAATAATAATATATAATCTTATTGTAAATACTTTTATTTGAAAAAGTTCCAAACAAGCATTTCTATTAATAGTATATGAAGAGAAATTTTTGGCTGACGATATTAACGCGAAGCAATATAAAATGTTTCTTTAGACATTAATCTGGACAGCATTAAATTTTATTAAAATAAAAACAATTAATTTATTATTATTTTAAATTACATTGAGTCATTCGGAAAGATGTTTTTTTATGTATTATTAATAAATGCGAATGAGATGTTTATTCTTTCAAGAATTGAAAATAAAAATATTGTTTATTTAATACAATTACTCACGTATGACGTAAAAGAATTAGTCTACATCGTTGAAATCCGCCGACGTGATATTGTTTAAACTTAAACAGAGAATTAATGAAATAAATATGGGAATTATTGTAATTAATTAATCTTTTATGGTCAATAAGGAATGGATAAAAAGGCCGGAAATTATTTTAGTGTTGTTTTGTTCTTGTAGGTTTTCTATTAGACTATTTTGGCTACTGGAAACGGAAGTATAACACGCGAACATTTGTCACGGTATAATGTATAATGTATGATTCAATCTTAAAAAATAGATTAAAAACATAATAAAATTTATCAACTACAGTCGACCCCCCCTATAACACTGTTGATTATTCCGTTTTATATGAATTCCATGTTGTACGAGTCACTTAGACTTTACAAATACGTGTGCCGGGCTGTGAACGGTTCACGTATTTGTAAAATCTAAGTGACTCGTACAATATGGAATTCATATAAAACGGAATAATCAACAGTGTTATAGGGGGGTCGACTGTATTACTGTTATCGCAACAACTGATTCTATATTGCGTATTCAAATTAAATAATAAAATAAATCTAATACTCGACAGAATAAATAACGCTAATTATACACAATAAAAAAACAACAATAAAAAGGGTCTTTATATGATTTATGTTTACATAGAAGATATGTGTTAAACAATTAGGCCTATGCTAATTTAGTGTTTATAGGTCTATATAGCCTAATTCAATCCGACGAAAATTTTTTAATTCATTTATTTGCCATATTCGGAAATATTTTAAGATAGTTCTTAGTCGTAGAAAGAAAAATTATCTGTTTTATCTATAGGTTTTCTTATATATTTATGTTTAAGGTTTAGGTCTATATATAATTTGAGAAAATAAACAAATGTTTTCCACTTTCCTACTCAAAATCATAAGAGTAGGCTACAATGTATTGTATTTGTACAGAAGAAATGACAACTGATGTAACAGACTGAAAAAAAGAATTGCTTTAATATATTGGCATTATTATTTAATTATCCTGTAACATTTCTCTCAATTGTGAAAACTTACAATACATTAATTAATTATCTAGCTGAGGCACGTGTGCATGCAGTGTCATATTTTAATAAATATTTGTGATATTTACAATTATCCTATTATTTTAAAACGATTATTATTTGCGACGCAAAAATTATTAAAGCGCAATATCTATTAAAAACAGTAGCGTAATCGTGGATAAACCCGTGTCGCCCCTGATACCTTATCTTTGTAGATTATATATATATATAATCATTTGATTACATTTAAGTCTCATCCGAATAAAATTGTATAAAATAAAATAAAAAGAAGAAAATTATAATTGGCATTTATCAATGTATAATTGAAAAGCGTTCCTCGTTAAGTAAATATACAAAAAAATATTGTAATAAATTGANTGATATTTACAATTATCCTATTATTTTAAAACGATTATTATTTGCGACGCAAAAATTATTAAAGCGCAATATCTATTAAAAACAGTAGCGTAATCTTGGATAAACCCGTGTCGCCCCTGATACCTTATCTTTGTAAATAAATATATAAAGAAAATTAAGTAGACTACAGGAAAAAGTTTTGAATGCAATAAACGCGCTTGAATATTCTGTACGATAGTTTATTCTTCATTCACAACGCTAGTAAGCTACAACCACAGTAGTAAAAGAGTGAACGTAGGTTTACACGTTGTAATTTGGCCCTCTTAATATCATTTCTATTTACAATACCGATTAAAAATGTTGAAAAAGGAAAAAGTATGTTCAAGTTATTAAACTGAATCAGTACAATGCTAATATTTACTGCTACTAGTAAGTTCAAATTCTCGCTAAATAAACGATATAGTCTACTGTACGGATATTTTATATTTTACTTAATTGAAGATTAATCAGGGTCGTCGAGAGGGCGGAAACTGGGGAATTTTTTTCCTGGGCCCAGAGAAAACTTGGGGGCCTTAGTGGTTCCTATCTCTATCACTTTGTTTTTAGTAAGAGTCTTAAATACTTAATTTTATTATTAGTTTTATTAACGGCCATTAACATCCGTTGTAAATACTAGACTTATTATACACAGAATAGGAAATATAACCCGATTAGGAAATCATTAACTGGAGAATGCATTTCGGACCTTCTTGTCCGTCATCAGCCCACATTTTGATGATGATTACCTTATTCATTTTTGAAAAGCAACTGTTAACTTTTTAACCATACAACAACAGATGTCAACACCACTAGAATTCCCCAGTTAATAGAAACCAATAAACGTTGATTTCCTAATCGCACTATATTTCCTATTCTGTGTATAAGTCTAGTATTTACAACGGATGTTGATTGCCGTTAATAAATGTAACAGACAACAACCAGACGAAGCAAATTCAACAAATATTTAAGACTACTTTTTATATTTGATTAAGACTTCTTCCCTCTGATAATTCGGAACTACACCCGTATAATAAGTCTTATTTATAAACCAGGTCTACGTGGATATTATAAAAACAAAATTTGAAACATTTTACGTATTTAATTTGGCTCAAAGAAAAAAAAATGGTAAAAAAAAGCCCCATTTTTCCCCTTAACGGGCAAAAGGGCCCTCCTACTTCGGTAGAACGGATACTTTAGGCCCGTTCTACCGCAGGCCCCAAACAAGCGCCCAACATCCTCGAGAATAACTAATATTTTTATATTTTAAACATAATATGAAGGCAATTTGTAATAAAAATATCAAGACTTTTTTTTTAACAGAACAACACACAATTTCTAGTTTATTACATTTATTGCCATTTCTTACTAATTTTGAATTATGTCCCATCGTTTCCCCCTAAGTTTCATTTCGCAATTTTTTATTTAAATAATCAGAAAGTGATTGTTGTTCAATCATGTATAACTAACGGTTCAATTTCCTGGATAGATAGAGGAAAAATCACAAATAAAAATTATTTATAAAAGTTTTGTAAACTTCTATTTAAAAAATTATTGTATCAATTGCTCGAATATTGAGAAAGAATTTATTAAGTGAAAATATTATAATGTATATAATGTACTTCATTGATATATTTTGAATTATAAAGGAAACATTTCATAAAAATTCGTCTATAAAAAATAAAAATAATAATAATAATAATAAGAAATATATTGTATATAAGTTACACAGTATATTTAAATTATTGTATTATTAAGTCTATAAAACATGAATGCCAATCAATTATTTTACCATGTCTTTAACAAAATATTCAAAAACAAATTTCAATTAAGTTTTTATTTTCAAATCTCAGCAAACATGTTAGATAAAGTACTTATTATTTAGCAATCCATGAGAACATCTTACTTGGGAATCTATTAGTTTTTTTTCTAAATTAATAAAAATTAAATGTAACTTCACCCTTTTCTGAACTTTTCCATCAAAAAGATAATTTTCATTATTAAACATATCTAGAATAAAGTCAATTAAAATTTTTAAAATGTCTCTTTCTTTTCAATATCCTATTAGTTTTTCTGATATGAAGTTGATTTCAGCTGTTAGGAATTCTGGGAATTTCCTTTATTCTTATACTAGAGCAAGAGCTTTAAATTTCTTCTACCAGACATCTAGCATTTTTCAATATTGACTAGTGTCATCCTTTTCTCTTCCTTCTGTTACTTTCAACACTTTTGTATCTATAAGTCTGATACCTTCTTTAATCTCATTTAAGTTAAAGCTTAATTTTTACAATGTAGAAATCTGATATATTAAACTAGTTTATTTCAGCTTTCTTAGCATAATTATTTTAATAATGTTTGAAGGCAATTTTATCATAAATCATTAATCTTATCCTTTATCTTTTTGATCCTATTCCTTTACTTGGTCTTTATATATTAGGGAGAGTCAAATGAAAATGTCATGTTATAGATATTTGAGAGATAAAACACAACACAGACATTTATCCCACCTTTTAATCAAGTTAGAAATTCTGGAGTTATGGTTGTGACATACTAGAGAGCACAGCTCTGTCCAATGTGAAAGTTTCCTTTGAGTGGTCCTTTTAGCAAATGATTAATTCTACACATCATTGTGATACTATCAAAACATTGTCATGCCATAAAGAAAAAGCACCCAGGTCTTTAGATAGATGGAGTTATCCTTCTCTATGACAATGCACAATCTCATGCATTTCTCTTCATTTTTGGCTTTTTCTTCAGTGAACACTAAAAGGACCTTTTTTCCACACCCATCATGGGAGTGACCAGGTAGTGAGGGATAGGGCCAGTAGGCCAGGCAATAAAATTACCTGGGGAATGGTTCACCTCAATTTGATTGCAGGTTCTCAGAGTGGTAGGTTCATGCCTTAACCACATGCAGTCATCTGGCCATGACCTCAGGTTACAGAATCCTGCAAAGTCTAAGAAGTTTAAGTAGGAAGTAATATTAATTAAACACTATACTCAAGACTCCATCTTGTGCTTAAAAACCAGATAAAATTTTGTTTTAAAATTGAAATGATTTGTTTACAGTTATTCCTTCAGAACAGTTAAAAAGAGATCCATAAGCAGGTTTGACTTAATATTGGAATTATACATCTTAGCCTATTAATATAGTGTAATAAAATATTTTATGACAATATATTAATTTAATACTTGTAGTATTGAAATATCAAATAATTATTAAGTGAAATCTTAACCTGATTTATGATGATAAGATTTTACTTTTATTTTATTTGCTCTCTAAAATTATGAGAGCAAATAAAAAAAGTTTCACAATTTTTTTCCTGGATATCATAATGCAAATACTAGCACAAAAGTTATATTAATATATACCTACATTCTTCTGGCAATTGTCTCAAATAGTCACCCTTCTGACCAGGAGTGGACCTAGGTTTTTTGGGGCTTAAGGTTTATTGAAGTCCAATGGCCACATTTTTTAACACAAATAATACTATAAATTATCACTAACTATTCTTTACTCTATGATAAGTGTTCCTTGTTAAATGAAAAAGTATTGCAAGTTTATGATGATAATTCAATTTTTATGGGCCCAGGGCTTAAGCCCTATGTAGATCTTCCCCTGCTTCTGACCATACCTCCGGTCAAATGGAATTGGGAAGAGTTGACCATACCTGTGAAAAGTGACCTCGCTCATATCAACACAATTTTGGCAAAGATGACAACATACAAGTTGAAGAACTGAATGCACCACAAACTGAATGAGCAAAGGCTTTGCCACATTTTGCAAAAGTTAAAGACAACTATTCAGAAGAAAAGGCCTGGATTGTTGACCAATGATAATGACCCATCCCAATGATAATGCACAGCCACACGTTGCATGAAAAAATTAAGGCACGTGAAGAAATTCATTTTGGAATGACTCAACCATAGTCCAGATTAGGGTTTCTTTCCCGGGATTCTCGCCGTTTATTCCCTACGAGAAAAACTCCGGGAAATTTTATTATCCCGGGAAATCTCGCATTTCAATAATAATTTACTATGTCAGGTTTTCTTTCTATTATTTATTATATGAAAAGTTGCATCTTGAAGACTCACCTAAGAGAGAAATTTTGAGGTTTCTTGCTGCATATTACTACTTATGTTTTATAAGTCTCTACTTGTTAGTTCATGTAATATCTATGTATTGTGTTTGCGCATCATTGAACAGCGGAGCACTGGCTGAAAGTAAATATCACTCATCGCACTTTAGTTTATTTTTTATTTCATCTTTAGAAGTAAAATAGTATTTTTTTTGTAATCATTAAAACTCCCAATGAAACGCTTTATTTTACTTTCATCTTATAATGTAGGAGAACATAAATTAATTGAGCCTAACGTGTCCGTATGGGTGAGATTGGCCCTACACTTTTAGTTACTTACTAGAAAATAAATTAAATTATTCAAATTTATGATATTCCTGTATGATCTTTTTTATTCATATAAAATTCTATTTTACTATCTCATCCCAGAATTTCCCGGGATCCCGGGGAAAAAAATTATTTTTCTCGTAATCCCGCTGGAGGCAAATTTCCCGGGAAATGAGAAACCCTAGTCCAGATCCTGCTGCTAGTGATTTTCATCTCTTCCCCAGTTGAAGGACATTCTGCAAGATCAGCATTTCTAGTTAGACAATGATGTAGAAGTTTAAACATAGAAATGCTTTAACCCCTTTCTCAGTCACTGTCACATCCATAAATCTATGTACTGGTACATTGCTTTTTTTATCAATAAGTATTACGATCCTGTATTACAGGATTCCTTTTTGGTTTTGATGCATCATATGTTTGGCATGAAAAATGCTCTAGAAATTTTTATTTTAATGTTTCTGATGTGTTCGCTGTTGTATTTCACTATTTCTCCAATAGTTGGCATTACGTTACAGAAATTATTTAGCAGTTTTTGGCAGGAAAATTTAGTTTCGTTTTGAAATCTGAAAGAGTACCAACTTGTTCCTGATAACTCTATATATTTGAAAGAAAAATATTTTATTTTTAGAAAAAACAGATGTAGGAGCTAATTTTTCCATATTTTATTATCAAAATTAGTTATATATCAAATAATAATAATAATAAAAATCGACACTTTTCAGACAGTCAACCTGAAAAAAAAATGAGATAAGAAGAGGAGTTAAAAAACTGGGCCCAGATTTCTTCAGATATAGTATCGAAAAACTTGTGCAGCATTGGAACAATATTAACAAACATGCAAATACGTAGAAAAATAGAAGATTGATCAATTGTAATATTTTTTGTACATTTAACAATAAGCATGTAATGAGAATGATAGTTATTGCATATTTTTTGAATGTTTAAATATTTTATAAACTACTAACAGAAATTATAAATATAATATCAAAGAAAGAAAACATCGTTTAGGAATAATAATAGATTTTATTTAAACACTTACACCCACAGCAGAAATGGTGCAATGAAGATAAATAGTTTACTTTTTCCACAATAGATTTTATCAATTAAAAACTAATTATTACATATCTACTCTTAGTAAATGCAATTTTGTTCAAATGCACAAAGCATGCTCCAAATTACCAAGTTGAAAGTGCAAACTGCATATATATATAGATATATCTGTGTGTTTTCTTTCAACAATGTGACAAATTAGTTATTCCAGAGGCATGCCATCAAACAGTGACATATACAAAATTCTATTTTAAGATATATACAAAACTTTATCTTATAACTAACAAGTAAAATTTAATGGAAATACGGTGTTTTGAATAACATATTCTAATTTGTTCTAAAGATGAGTGACGTTTCATGTACACAAATTCGTAAGCTGTAATAGAGATACATCACCTAGTTATATAATTTTTAAGTAGATTATTAAATTAACATATTCATTTTATTGATATTATAAAAATATATATACTAATTAAAAGAAAATTTCCCTTTATTTGCATTTAAAATTTTTAATGTTAAGTCATTACACAAAATATTTTATACACTAAATGCAGAGAAAGCCAGATTATTGATTAGCAAAATCATTTGTCTTAAATTAATAAAATTATTATTATAAGATCTATTAATATTAACAGTTTTTTTTTTCCATTTAAATATTCCTAAAAGACTAGAGAAATATTTAATTACAATTTTGAGAACATTTCAACGTTTGACTATATTCTGCAAAATAAGTTGAAGTGTATGTGAAACAGCATATTCTAAATTTATATTTTGAATATATTTGTTCAGACATCATGTATAATCACTTTATTTAAACTATTACAGTATACAAAAAAATGAGTGCAAACTATTTTATAACAACCTATCTCCATCTAATTTGAATAAAATAAGGAAAATGCTAAGTGCACTGCCTAAAATATAAAAGTTAATTGTGCTTTCATCTGGATTTTTTCCCCACTGTGAATATCTAATTTCATCGACAATAATGCTGTATTTGGCACTCTGTTCGCTGCCGTTTGCGTGCCTTCATCTGTTCGAAAAATTCCCAAATATCTTCTTCTCGGACAACCTATTAGATAAAATATGAAATTTAATAATAATTCTATGGTTAAGTTTTGATTTACTTTATCAAATAACTAAACAGCAACAATATTGGTTATCTAAAATGGGAAAAATAATCAACAACTTTTACAGTATGATCCCTAGAAGTTTATTTTGAAAATATTAGTGAAAATAATGTCAATCAATCAATGTTTCATTCAAAAAAGCCAAATTTAATCATTTTTTTTAAACTAAATTTGTTTTCAAACTACATATATTAATACAAAATAACAAATTAAGTATATAACAATTTTTAAATTTTATTTGTTATATTTAAATATCATGTGACATTCAACATTTGTGACCACTTTTATATCCAGAACTTGGCTGCAACACATGCTTATGTAAATATATAAAACTGCTTTTTTGTTGCTTGCAGTAACAAAAATTCCATAATGGTGGGTTTTGGTACTTGTGTCAGCAGTTTAATTAATAATTTAAGGAGGAGTCAAAGTTGGCAAATTTTTTGCTGACTATATTTCAATTATTTTTACTTTCAAAGTTGTTATAGAATATAACAGGAAAATTATGGTGATCAGTCAATTTTGACCCACCTTTTTTGCATTTTTTGACATTTTGACACTCCTGAGCCAAAAAAAATCCTCTGTAAAATAATTGTGTGCTTGTATTTGCATGTGTATCTACTCTGCATTATCTCAGGACTGGATAAACCTAAAATTTTGAAACTTGGCAGTTATTTCTGTATATCTGAACATTGTAAATTTTTGTCTTTTGAATAAAGTAACACATCATAGCTATAATCCTCTAATTATTATTAGATCACCAGTGCACTTCTAATTAATAAAGTAGCATAATGAATTACACGTCAATGATGAAATAGATAATGATAAATAGATGATAGACAGAGTATAAATACTATGGAGTTAAAACGTTGGCATGTAAAAACAAAATGCCAATTCTCTATCCCTTGTAGTAGCTGATAATTAATAAAATACAAAAAAAAATAATTATTTTGAAGTTCAGTTACTTTTATTACTGTTATTCCTTTGTATATCATGATTATTTCTGTATTATTATTATTATTACTATTATAAAAAATTTAATATCAAATGATCTTATTCACAGAAAAAAGAAATTTATAAAATTGAAAATTAGATATTACTAAGTCAACTTAACCCTGCTGTAAAGTGAGTTGCATGAAGTAAAAGGCCTTAGCTGAGTTGCATGGCNAAAATGTTCTATTTCTTAAATTCAGAGACATTGTTCTCTATGAACAATACTGCATGAAGAGGACAATTACATACTGACAAAAGTACTTGCAAAATAAAAATTTTCCACAGCATTGATACACAGTTGTGTGATTTAGCTTTTTGTATTTATATTTGGCATCTACAGTTGTTTATAAATTTGAACGTGTTCGATAAGGGCATGGATTTGAACGTCTTTAACCTGATGATGGCCCATGAAATGGTTTGAAAACATTTGTTAGCTGAATAAATGTGTGTTCTCAGTATTAAGGTGTGTTGACTGTATAAGTTGTTTATATTTTAGCACTTTAGTGAATTCTAGAAGAAAAATCCAATGATATGATTTTCTATAGAAGTCAAATTTTAATTCAGATTTGCCATTCTTATCCATAAAACTGGAAACTATTCACTGAAAATATCATACATAATAATAGTATAATACAAATAGCAGTGTAGTATTCTATAGGAAGAAAAACTATCATTGTTTCATATCAGGGAAGCCAAAAGTTTTTAATTATTTTGGTGTAAAAATTTAACAGCAAACAGAAATATATAACAGAAAATTAAGAAAACATCGTAAGTACGTTTGATAAATAAAGTTATTTTTCTCAGGTAATAGAACGAAACAGATGTTTTAAAAGTTCTTACAAATTACAATTATAGAATAAAACTTTAAAATATAGAATAAAATTGAATATTTTAAAGTAATATTCATTTCACAGTTTATTTTATATTTAGTATCAACAAAAACTTTTTAATCATTGCTCATTCTTTATTGATATTCAATTTTGTGTTAATTTATTGTTAATAATAATAATGTTTAATATATTTAAAAATGATTCAACAACCCAAAGTTTGATATATATATACATAACCAAATGATTGTCTTAAATATTATTAATTTAGATAAGAGATGGCATCTAACATCTACCTCTAGTAGCAAATTACTTAATATTAATTATTGAAATTAACAGATTTATAGCCCAAGTATTTAGCTGATCATTTGGCTACATATCTATTATTATTATTTAAATACTATAGGAAACCATTAGATGATTATCATTAGGATTTAGATAATGTCACTTCTTCAAATTTCAAACTTCTCCAATCTTTAAAAATATTTTTTTAAAATAAGATTTATTAGTAACTTAATTTATTTTTCTTACTTCATTAAAAACTTTGTTTTTAAAATAGAATCTGTCTCTTTCAGATTTTTCAAATGGTTCTTTATTTCTTAAATTGTAAATTTTCTATTTATTATTAACTTTGCTTATTCTTTTTTTCAAGAAATATATAATTTTGCAACATTATGATAAAACACTTCAATTAAGACTTAAATTTATCATTATTATAAATAATAATAATTTCTTTTATTTAATTAAACTGAAACAATGTAAAAAATTGCTAAAAAATTTTAATAAATGAACTTTAGCTTCAACTCAACTCATTTGGCAATACTTTTGGGCATAGTGGATACTGAACAAATGCCTATTACTTTGAATGTGTCATTCTTTCAAGACATTGTATTCCATGTCTTTGCAATTAGTGAAATAAACTTATGACTGCAGAATATGATGACAATTTTTGATATTTCAATTTTCTTTCCCAACACATTATATCCAATTGTCTTCTTTATACCATTATTTTCAGCTGGTTTTTGAATTATTTTCTGCAATCTTACATACTGTGAGAATAGCATTTTATTTTAAATTTCTTATTTTTAATCAAATAATTAATTCAAATTTTATAATTATATATATTAACTAATTTAACTTTAACCTTACCTTTTTTGAGTCAGCAAACTTTTTCAAAAAATCTTTTAGTTCACTCTTCATACTATTATATTCTGTGGAGTAAATAATAATTGTAATTTTTCAAATAAAAACAAAATATTTATTTTATTTTATTAGACTAAAATTATAAATATATTTTACTATTCTTCATATTTATAATTTTAATGTAATTAATTAACAAGGAATCCTATGTAGTTTTCCAATATTATATATATATATACATATATACACACACCCATGCTGTTACCCACAACTTTGCCTGCAGTGGATTTGCAAGCAAACCCCATTTATATTCAGTATTTCAACAACCATAGTAATTGTTATATAACACCTACCACTGAGAATGATGAGAATTGCCGAGAATCAAATGAACTATTTTCAATTTGATCAATTTTCTGGAACATTTACAATCATTCTATAATCGAAACCAATATGCAATAACAAATTCGAATTTAAAACAGTTCGAACATTTTTAAAATCAGAATAGATAAAAATATTTATAACAATGTCTGAAATGTTATTAATTTAATACACCTAAGTACTTGACAAAGACTAAATCCCCTCCCTCTGCGAGAAAATTTCGAAAAATCTTTTCTTAGTGTGCATTGCCATGGCATACCCTTCTACAACACAGATAAAAACAAAAAATCGCATCTAAAATAGTACAGTAGAAGCCATTCTTCCAGTTAAGCCTTAATGCTCTCCCTCTCCCCCTGCGGGGGAATTTCGAAAAATCCCTTCTTAGTGTGCGTTTTCATGACGTACCCTAACTGTGTACCAAATTTCACCTCTTTAGGTTCAGCGGTTTTCTCTGGGCGATGATGAATCAGTGAGTGAGTGAGTCATTGAGTCATTCAGTCAGTCAGGACAAGCAATTTTATATATATAGATTGGAAAACTACATAGGATTCCTTGTATTATTTTTCATAAATTATGAAATTCTTGGCATATTTTATAGATTCTTGATCTATCATTCCTGTATCAATCATCTATTTTCTCGCATCTATTGGTTTTTTCTCCAGTCCCAAATAAGGACCCATAATTTTTCCTGTATTCTTGGTTCCCACATCAATTGTTCTATCCACAATAGAAGGTGCTAAATTAACCCTTGGTGCTCGAAAGTACCGATTGGTTGGTACCCCCGATTGTTAAGCAAAACTTCGAGGGTACCAATTCATCATTACCCCAGTGAAAATAGATTTTTGTAAAATTTATCGACAACAGATATTTGCACTTGATGACATCATCTTGTCTATCATCTGTTTCACATATTTTTATCCAGGTGGTGTTTTGTTGACTTAAAAAATTTTAATTAATGCTTTTTATTTCTTAATTTATTTTTTTCTGATAATTTTTTATTTCATTTTTAACATATTCATGCAATAATATTACTAAGTTCATTTATGCTATAATAGGTTTATTTAGCTTAATAAGTCAACATGTTATAAATATTCAATTTGTGACCTTCAGTTCTGACATTTTATATATTTTTTATTTTAATCTAAAATATCAGTATATAAAAAAATTATTTATAAAAAAAAAATAAAAAAAAAATAAATATAAATAAAAATATGTATTATCAGAAAAACAGATTGATTTGTGTACATTTATATGAGTATGAAGGGAATTTGTTCCCGTACTCGTGAAATTTTGGAGAATTTCAATTGCTGTTTCATGAAAAATTCCTATGAGTGTGTTTTCGGTTAATATCACGCGATTCTATTAACTCGATTTTTTTTAACGAATGAATCAGAAACTAATTTATGTATCTTCATCATTGTAGAACGGGCATCACCATGATTATTGTTATAAACGCTGTTACATAGTTATTAGTGAATAAAGATTAATTTTTAAAAAACTGTGTACAGAAAACTAATCGTAATTAAAGGTATATTTTTCTATAAAATATCCCTCACTTTGAAACAATTATCTTGTAAACACGCAAGCTTTCTCGATGCTCTTCTGGAAGAACTTAATGACTTAAAGCAATTTAGCATAAAACTGTATATTGAAATGTTATTGAACTTAATGGCAATGAACTTATATTCTTATACCTATATTTCTGTTACACTAACCAAGCTACGGACAGATGCCATACCTGCCATTTTATGTCTTGGTTAGTGTAACCAAAAATATAGTTACAAGGATGTAACTAGATAGGCTGATGGGTGTTTTCTTAGTAGTATTCCATATACATTATTATATCAAGCGAAATATAGGTTTATAGGCTAAATAGTAACCAAAAATAAAGTCTCATAGGACGTAGATACATTATTAGAGAAGTGACTAGAACTTCAGTTAGTATACACCTACACAACACCTTTACATTATGGCTAAATCCTCTACAAGGAACAATACTTACACCTTAAAAGTAGAACCTTTACAGTTCATGGTTAAGGTGTTAGATTTTTCACAAAATATTCATAAAACTTCAAGAAATAGTGCCATCTAGTGAGAAATAAATTTCTAATCCTGTTTTCTAGGTTAAATTTCCGAAGTGCAACGTCACAACTACAGAATTATGTCAAGCCCGTGACGTCATTCACTTTCGTAACGGAATTTCCCCGATATAATGTCACTTTCGTAAGATATGAATCATCCGAGTGAATTTATCTGATTATTAATATTTGAATCGGAGATAAAACGTATTTAAGAAATTATAAAGGTATCCGAATGGGGAATTTCTTTCATGTATTTAGTATACGCCATTTTTAAATTAATCGCTGCGGTAGTTTAAATATTTAGAACAACCTAAATACTTGCTACTCATTAAACGAACAATAACTTTAATAAAAATATTTATATTATACTTTTATGCTGTCGTTAATAAGAGGAATTAAATAGCAGCATTAAATAAGTTAAATATAATTTACATTATTTATTAAATTCTTATTATAACAGGTGTTGAAGACACCTGTTATAATAAGAATTCATTATTGCCTGTGGTCTTGTTTAATATACATCTAAAACACCTACGCTTTATAATTATCCCTCTATAACCTATAATAAGTTATAGAGAAGTACCACGTACCATATAGGTAAACGTTTTACATTTTTCACGAAATATTTATAAAATTTCACGATGCCAGTGTTGTTTAATATGGTATAAGTCAATAATTCTTGACATCATTCTCAATATTAATATAGACAATTGCTAGATAATGTTGATTAATATCCTATTCCTAGAATTAGCATGCAAATCATAATAGTACAGGAATAGATACAGAATAGGAGCGGCTCATCAACACTTCCTTACTGTGGAGTAGGCTATAATGACAATTTAAACATTCAAACCAGTCATAATTTATTAATTACACTCTCTTACTTTCCTCTAAACTTTATATAAATAGCATCACTAATTTAAGCATAAGTAATGTTACATATTTGCTATGTGTAAGCTTCAAATTAATAAGATTTGAAGCTTACACATGCAACAACCTGTAAGGAAACAATTGCCTATATCCGTTACGGTATATTACTCGTTTTTCTGAATAATATCCTGTAATTTAAATTAATAATCGCAGAAATATTCCATTTCATTAATGCTCTCAAGGAAGAATTTATAGTCCTCATTATGAAGCAATATATTTCCATAATTTGTGAATACAATCTAGACAAGCGGATAATAAAAATTTTTATTTTTTATAATATTTCTTATAATAAGAATAGAGCCGATGTGCTGGATCAGAAACGTATATCACTCCGCGCCTTAGACAAGCAAGGAAAAGACTTCAAAACGTAAGGCGCAAAGAAAGGGGAAACCAATCACATTATCTGTTTCAAATAAAGCGGGTAATGTGATTGGCTTTTTTATCCGTCTTTATTAAAGCCGCTTTATCAGGCAATGCGCCCGTAATGTTTGATTTTTCGTAAAATCTTCGAAAATTCAAGCATATGTCGTATGACTTATATTTGTTGTATGATTTCAGATTTCTTCAAAAGTGTCCTACTTCGTAAACACAAAATTATTTTCCTTCGTGTATGTAGAATAACGAACATTGGCTCCATTCTTCTTCCGAGAAAGACTATAGACGTTTTTATTGAAAATATAATGGTGGAAACTGTGAGGAGAACACTATGTATGTCTTATAATCTCTAAAAACTACAGAAGATAATATATTGATAAAATCTGGAATCGAAGTACAAACTCTTTGTTATTTATACTGTATTTAAAAAACAATGTTATATATGAGATTTATTCATATTAACTGTAGAAAAATATGAATTTTATGACAAGTTTGAACATGCCAAAATTTCAAATGACGTTTAACAATGGAAATTTGAATAATCATTGCAATCGACATATTGGGGATTCGATACCCAGGTAGCGCCATCTGTGAGCCATTGGTTTCTTTCTCTTCTATTGATTTGAGTTTCAAAATATATTATTGTAATGGCAGGAAGTAGATAGAGTGGGACAAGTAAGGCCATTTGACTCTGTTACTATCTAGTGACCAGTAGTTAAAGTTAATATAGTTTCCCCCATCTGCTCGTCTTCTTAGATAGTGCCACCTTATTTTAAGGATAGGGATTATTNTCTATTATTTTAAGAATTTCTGTGTATATCTCTTTTATTTTACAAATTTGCTATTTTGTTCTTTAAAGTAAAGGGGTGTTCACATTCCTTTTCACTGTCAACTTAAAAATTCCTTCTTGTTTTAATATAATTTGTATATAACTTAAAACACCATGTGACTTAAATATAAAGTCAGAATTTGTCTTAAGACAGTATTCACTATCAATATGAATTTTGATTGAACTAAATAAGCATAAAAATAAGAGGGGGAGAATATATTAAATGCATTGGAAAAATAATTTTATCTTTCAGTTTGTATTCATCTCCACTGAATCATAGTTTTTAAGAGAAATCAAGAAACATTTTAATTTTCTCATAAGAGAACATAATAAATTATTATTATTATTACTATTATAAAAAATTTAATATCAAATGATCTTATTCACAGAAAAAAGAAATTTATAAAATTGAAAATTAGATATTACTAAGTCAACTTAACCCTGCTGTAAAGTGAGTTGCATGAAGTAAAAGGCCTTAGCTGAGTTGCATGGCATATCATAGCTATCAATTTTTATTCCAAAAGTGTGAAATTATTAGCATTGCATCAGAAACTACAATTATATCTTTAATTTCTGTATTTTATATTCTTTCTAATGATGTAAAATATTAGTGGATTTATGAAACTGTGTACTTTATGTTTATTTTATAGTAATTTGGTTATAAAAAAAAAAAAGCAATAAAAACATATCAAATTTCACTTTACTGTAAATTATCTCAGGTTTCACAGATTGACATCTAGTTTATAATTGAAGGGATAGGTTGTCTTTCAAGGTCAGGGTAGAAAAACTTACTTTAAAAGGAGATTGGCAGTAGAGCTGGCACTGACCCCCCACTCCAAATGTAAACAAACCAAAAAGTGTTTTATTACCCAGTAAACAAAAGCTTCCATTCCACTTGTAAATGGGTCAAATGACAAACTTTGTGTAGAAAATAATCTATACCAAACCAGTTTTAAAAAAAATGTAAACTTTTTTATTTACATATTTTGAAGACTCATTTAAAATGATTTTAAATAAATGTTGTTGCCGTAAGAAATGTTTCAGATAAATTTTAATTGACTTCTTTAAAAAATTTGCAAGTTTAATGTTATATATTAAGTTATGGAGTTGTATCTTCATTTAAATATTATAATATAGTTTTATAAACAATGAAGTAACATCAATATAGACTTCAAAGTCTTAGTCTCAATTAAAATATCACTTTTTTCTAATTGTACAATTTTAACTTGATTTTTTTTAAACTATATTTTAATTAGTAATTTTTAAAAATATATAAATATACAGTGATGCCTTGTACTTCAAATTTAATTCATTCCAGGAGACTAAATTCCAATCAATTTGTCCCATTAGAAATAATGAAAAGTGAATTAATCCATTCCTAGACCTAAACAATACCCATCTCAAACTTAAATTATGTATATTTGCCATTTTAAGGTAAAAAAATAACTAAATGATCTAATAATAAATTAAAACATAAAAACAAATAAAATACATAAATACTGCACAATAAACTGAAAATTACATTTACTGATTGAACACCATTGACTTCTACACCTTAAATATATGGCCACCAGATCTGCCACACATGTACCACTTTCATACTTTGAGATGAAAAACGAAATTATTGCAATTGTCAATATTACAACCTTCCTCTTAGAGTTTATTACTTCCATACACTTCTTGAGCCATGTAAAGGTTATATTAGGTTGAACAGAAAATTTTTGCATATTTTTAACAGCTGTTGTTACTTAACAGAGATGTAATTATTATATCACATCTCTGTATCTTAAATAACTGTGATATAATTATATCACAGTTATTTAAGATTGCTAATCTGATATTGCATTCTTTGTTTAGAAGCTTATTTTAAACTTCAAATCTTGCTTGAATATAAAGTTAAAATGTCTTCAGGTAAAAAGCATATCAGACATATTACGCTTTATGAGTTTTGGAAAAGATAACATGTCAAACGTGGTTTAAAAAGTTCCATTCAAGAAATGTTAAACTAAGGGTAGAAAATGCATGGGATGCCTAAAAGCTGTTGCCAAAGAAAATTTGCAGAAAGAAACTGTTAAAAATTGATGAATAACACACAATATATTAAACAAAAACACATCAAATAAATGAAAAAAAAAAGCACTGAAGTCATAAGTGTAATGCAAGAATGAGAGATGACTTATACACACAACAGATTGCATTTACACTCTAGTGCATTTTTTCCCCAACATAAATTTTTGTCAAATTTATCATTCAAAGTTAAAGTCCACTGTACGAGGTACCACTGTATTTAAAGAAAATATAAAATGTATAAAAAATTTTTAAATGAAAAGAAAAAATTTGCAATAATATTTCTTCTTTAGTATGTTACTATAAATCTGTTTTATAATAATTTAGAATATTGAAACAGTTCACCAAATTTAAAGACAATAAGATAATCATACCATGGATAGCTTCCATTTGTTTCACTCTGTCAAGACCTTGAAGTGCTGTCATTCCTTTTACATATTGTGATTCGGTACCAATACTTGCTTTACCTCGTTCTTCATATGAATGAACTGTATCATCTTCATCTAGCAAATATGAACAATTATGTTGGCGATATAATTCCTGTAAATATTCATTAAATTAATATCATTCAGAGGAAACTAATAAATTTTTATATTTGTGTACAATGGGATAATTTTGCATAATTTAAAACATAATGCAATAATTCAAAACATCTATCTTGATAACCTACTTTAATTTATATTTATAAAATATAAACTTAAAAATCCCACATTTTATTCTAAAAAAATCCCAAAAATTTCAAATAAGATTTTTTGATAAAGAATACAAATTTAATAATTGATTTATTTTATTTTAAAAAATTATTTACTAAGGAATTATTTAAGATTATTTCTTAAATAACTAGTATTTTTAATTAATAATCATCACTATCAAATCTAATCATATGCTCTACCTTTGCTAGCCATAATTTAAAAATCAATATTTGCAAAACAGTAACCCTGATGTTGCCAGAGTTCACCTTGGTCTACCTAATCTTACTGATTGTTTAAAATATTTTCATCACATACTTTGTTACAAATATTTTAATGGACAAATCTCTAATTACTGGCTAGGTCTTTGCATAACTACTGCTAGAACTCACAATACTTCCTGTCTTTTCATCCCTTTTTATCGTGTTTCACTATCCCATAGAATTATTTTATCACGTAGCCTCCCATATGACTCCAGTCAAACAGTATTTGTACTGCAATTTTAATTTTTACGAAACCAAATGTAAATCAATTTTATATAATATGTAATGTAATTTTAATTCTTTACTCCTTGTGTTATTTTTATCTTTTTATTGTTATTTATTACCGTTTAATATTTTATTGGGGTTTATTATTTGGGGGTGAAAATCGATCATCTTTGGACGTTTTATTTTAAATATTTTTTTATTTGCAACTGAAAAGTTATTCTTGTTATTTCTTAACATATTAATAATTATTTCAATGTCAGATATATAGATAAGCCTAACAGATAAAGATCAAATTATCTGAATTTTGAGTGTCAATTTTAAAAACTAGGATAATGTTATACTTTAATTGATAAGGTTTTTAAAGAATTTAATGTAGACTGTTATTCAATAATCTTGCATTAACTCAATGTTTTTAATTTTTATTAAAACAATTCCTATACTACAATTTATTTTTTCAACTTTGCAACTTTAACAACTATGCATACTTTGCAATTTTGAAACCCCAAAATTTTCTACATTAATAAATTATTATTTTTTAAATTATTATTATTATTATGTTGGTTTAGTGGGTTATACTCAGTTGACACCGGTGGCTATGTACTATGCCTGACCAGAGTCAACGCACAGCAACCAAAACAAAACTAAAATTAAATAAGTATGTCAGTGTCTGTATTCAGGAATTTCCTAACAATATGGCATGTATTCAATATAGTGGCCTTCTGTAGTGTGATGTATGTATTTCTATTCAATTGTAATGTTCCCAGGCTTTTGTGTAGTGTGTGTGGTATCACACCTGTACAGAGAGAACGACAGGTACAATAAGCACCCTATCCATCCTCCACAGATGCCTTATTTCCTGGGCGAGTTCTGTCTACAGTATTTGCTGATTTTTCCAGTAAATGTGTTTGGTATATTGTGAGTGTTTGGAATGGATATGTCTATAATGTATGTGATTTTATTGTTTGTCAATGAGTGTGATGTTTGGGTCTGTTGTGGTAAATTGTTTTTATCTGTGATTATGGCTCTGTCGTAATACATTTTGTGCATGTTGTTTTCCAATACTGTCTGTGGAATGTATTTGTAGTATGGTTCGTGGATGTCTAATAATTTGTGTTTCTTTGCAAGTTCTTGGTGTATTATATTTGCTACTTGATTGTGTCTATGTAAGTAATCTGTTTGTGCCAAGAGCTTGCATCCAGATGTAATATGTTGTATACTTTCTGGCATAATGTGGCATTTTCTGCATGTGTCATTTGTGAGTGTTGTATCTTTGAGTATGTGTTTTCTGTAGTTTTTAGTATTTATGACCTGATCCTGTATGGCAATCATGAATCCTTCCGTCTCCCCAAAGAGGCATCCCCGATCTAACCAGCTGTTTGACGCAGTTTTGTCAACAAAATCCTGGGCCAGGTCGTAAGGATGCCTGCCATGGAGAGCCTTTTGAGCCCATGATTGCTTAATGTTGTCTATGCTTTTTATATGTTGTGTCATGTCTGTATGTTGTGAGTGTAAGTTTAATGGTGTGTTATTTGAGTCTGCTAGAGTTACTGCTTTATGTAACTGTGATGTTTCTTGTTTCTTGTAGAAAAACTCTCGCAGTGACTGTATTTGTTTGTAGTGAAGGTTAACTATGTCAATCAGGCCACGTCCGCCTTCTTTACGTGGAAGGGTTAATCTTTCTGTGGCGGATTTAGGATGATGTTGTTTATGCTTAGTAAGTGTTGTTCTTGTTTTCCTTTGGAGTTGCTCGAGATCTGTGTGAGTCCAATGTATAACTCCAAAAGAGTATGTGAGTACTGGGATGACATATGTGTTTATTGCTTTAACTGTGTGTTTTGCATTTAACTGTGTTCTAAGTATAGCGTTTAACCTACTTTGGTATTCTTTAATTAATCGTTGCTTTATTTGTGTATGTTCTGTTAGTTTGGCCTGTTGGAATCCTAAGTACTTGTAGAACTCGCCCTCTTCCATGGATTCAATAACGTCTCCATTTCCAAGTGCAAAATCTTCTTTCTTCAGGATTCCTTTTTCTACGTGAAGTTTTTTGCATTTGTCTAAGCCAAACTCCATTTGTATGTCCTTAGTGTATGAGTGTGTGATTTGTAGGAGTTGATGAAGTTGTTTCTGTGTGGATGCATAAAGTTTTATGTTGTCCATGTACATGAGATGTGACAGCGTAAACTGTGTTGTTTTTTCATGCCTGATATTGTAGCCTTAATGCGTGTTGTTTAACATATTGGATAATGGGTTCAGGGCTAGGCAGAACCAGAGAGGACTCAAGAAATCTCCTTGAAAAATTCCTCGCCTAATGAATATCTCATTTGTTTGTATGGAAGTGTTACTAACCCTGAGATGTAGTGTTGTTCTCCAGTGCTGCATAGTGTTTTTGAAGAATGCAATGAGTGATGGATGTATTTTGTACATGTGTAGAATATGTAGCAGCCAACTGTGTGGAACACTGTCAAATGCTTTTCTATAGTCTACATATGCCATGTGTATGTTTCTGTGTTGTTTGTGTGCTTGCCGTAGAATGACTGAATCTAAGAGTAACTGTTCTTTGCATCCCCTGTGATTTCTACGGCAACCTTTTTGTTGTTCTGTAAGAATGTCGTGTTCTTCTACGTGTTTGTATATTTTGTTTGTGATACAGGATGTCAATAATTTGTAGAGTGTTGGAAGACATGTAATTGGTCTGTATTGTGTGGGGTATGTGGTTTTGTTGTTTTTAGGTTTCATGTAGGTGATGCCCCGAGTAAGAAATTTTGGCATGTCTTGTGGATTGATGATGATGTGTGTTAGATGTTTAGCTAGTTCCTGGTGCAATGATGTAAATTTTTTGTACCAGAAATTGTAAATGTTGACCAAGTTGTGAACACACAACTGGATGACCAAGTGTCTTCCAGTTGTGTGTTCTGTTAACGGCATAGCAAATGTCATATACGTTTATTTCAGCACAGGGCATAGTTGGTATGTTATGCAAGTTTCTGTTCTCCTTGATCCAGCCTTCATCATCATTGTGCATAACAGCACTGGACCAAAGAGAAGACCAATAAGTTGTGAGTTCTTCTGTTGGTGTGCCACTGTGCTGGGTATCAATGTTTGTTTTGGTACTGATTTGTCTGTAGAAAAGTTTTTCATTGTTTGTGAATAATTTATTTTGTTGTTTTCATAGTGTACATGTTTTGTATCATTTGAGTCTATGTGCTTTGGCTGTGAATTTCTGTTTTAGTGTATCGATGTATTCTGTAATATGTATGTTGTGATGTTCGTGTTTTGTGTGTGTTTTGATTTTCTCGAAAATGTTTTTGAGTTGTTTCTTTAATTTAGGTATTATGTTGTTTTTAGTACATTGTGTCAGCCTGCCTAATTGCTGTCTAATGTCATTTATTTGTGTTTCTATTCTTCTCTGCCAAGCAGGCTTGTGATAGAATTGTGTTTTGTGTGTGTCTGTCTGTGATTGTATTTTCAGTCCATGGTGTGTTACTACTGTGACTGCCCCAGCATAAACCAATGTATGAATGTCTGAGAGTGTAGAAATTGAAAGAATGTAGTTTGGTAGTAAATGAGTGTTTACATAATTTAGTGTTTTTCCTACTACCTTTGACGTGTTGATTTTCGGTGTTCATGGTCTTTGTGTGGGATCTGTGCCTGTATATTTAGTGAGTGTTTCCTAAAATATAAGTGAGAGCATATTAACTAATTCTATGTCTATGTTATCAGTGATGAATGAGGAAGTGTCTGTAGTATCATTAATGGTAGTTGTTGTATGTGTACTATTATCAATGCTTGTTGCTGTATTATCCTGACAGGTTACGTGATCTTCATTAATGTTAAATGTTTCTGCCTGTTGATGTATTTGATCAGCAACCTGTTGTTTAATAAGTTCAAGTGTTGTTTGTGGGATAAGGTTTTTGTGTATAATTGTTCTTTTTTGATCAACAACCCTTTGTTCGGTGACAGTGAGGTGAGGATATTGTTGTGTGAATCTATGGTGTAGTTGTTGTCTGTATGCTGTCGTGTTTGTTTCGAGTCTTGTGATGGTGTAGTAAGTACGGATGATAAACTCGTTCATTTCTGTTGTCCATTTCATCTGTTGGCGTGGTTTTCCAGCCTTTGTGGTCTGTGGATGCATTGCCACTGAAACACCAAGGCTAGGTTGATTCCTCACATCTGTTGAGGGCATTGCAGTAGCCATGCTTGGGCCGGCGCTGCTTTCGCCACCGGTAACCAAGGGAGACTGGAGCCTATTTTTCGAACGTGAGCCTCTGCCTAACCCACGAACGCAGGCCTTGTTAACCTGGGCGACATCCGAGCCAGTATCATACTTAGATCTGGTTACTACCATGATAAAATATCTCCACAGAATGTGGGTGTGTGGTCACTCTTAGCTTCATTTCTCTCCATAGACCTTACTAGCATGGGTGTCCCTACCAGGAGCTTGTGCTCCAGCCTGCATTGCTCTATGGTTCAGTAAAATTACTGGGCTCTCCCACCACGACCAGGTGGTGACCACGGGAGAGTTATTATTATTATTATTATTATTATACATTGTATATTTTACTAATTTTTACATACTTTCTTGTTTGAGTTTTTATAAAATATATCTCATAATTAACTAACAGTTAATTTGCCAATAAAAACAATTTGGTAATGAAATAAATTGATAATAAATTAAAAACCATGTCACACTAAAACAATATTTGAACTTTTAAACATAATTAGCAATTCAAAAAACTATATTATGTTATTGAATATAAATAAATCAAACTTACAAAACATTGTGAACACTTGCACAGTTTCTTTCTCCATCCATCTTGCCAAAGAGTAAAGCCTTTTCGAGGAGAAGAGCCAAATCCATTTTGTAATTGTTTTAAAATACAAACTGTATCTGATTTAACCTTAGGAGAAGTCTTTAAAAAGAAAGTTATAAATTAAATGTGTGTACGTAAACATTATATTTCACGCTTAATCATAAAACTTCAAATGTAATTATTAAGAAGATTTAATACAGATAACCCTCATTTTATAATAGTTTGTTTTGCAACAATTCATAATAATGACAATTTTAAAACTGAAAGACCAAAAATACTAACTACAAAAAAAATTCAAAAAGGTACAATTATAATTACTAAAACATGATATAAACTAGATTGTTTGTTTTAATATATAGTAGACCCCCTATAACATAGATACGTTCCATTTTATTTGAATTCCGTGTTTTACCAGTCACTTAAATACATGAGCCTATCACAGCCTGGCATGTGTGCAGTTTACAGACTACGGCTGTTTGAAAGGTTTTCTTCCATAAAATTAATCGATTCTAGACTAATTTGACTCAACATTTCCAAAACATGTATAATTTTTGGGGGATAATCCATATAAACTATGCTATAAACAAAATATTGTAGGATTACTTACTGAGTGTGCACTGTTCAAAGGTGCCATTGCTTAAGCTTGTTTTCGTCATGGAGCAGTGCATCTAACGGTGGGTGTGTGTTTTCTGATAAGTTATTTTTCTGTGAAAAATTTGCTAAACTTTGGAATTAATATAAATATAATTTTTATGGCCGTTAAATAATAAATGTTTTTTAGTAGGTCCAGTGCTTGTTTAAACTCAACGGTTTGTGCAATATCTGCTATTGATCTAGATTTGATCAATCCTGTCATGACACGAGTCGGCGATGACGTTTTACTGTATTATATGAGTCTCTTTTAGCGTGTTTATATGAATACGATCACAATTTTTTCGCCATGTTATACAAATCTGTATTATATGAACCCATGTTTTAGGGGGATCTACTGTATTTTAGAGGCAGCTCTTCTTTTTCTTTTCCATCCTGTTAAAGTACCTTCTTTCAGACATAATTGATCATAATTGGTGTAAAGGATGAAAGTCAAAAGAAATGTAATGTTATCCACTGACACTTATTTTGAGATTCTTAATAGAAAAAAAAACTCTTGATAGTTAACACTGCAGTAAAATCTCTGCATTACTCCACTATCATAAAAGATCAATGCTGGGGTCTTACATTGATGTTTATGAAAAATTTTAGTCTGAACTTTGAATATATCGAAGTAAATGCACAAAATATAATTTTTTTATTATTATTATTTAAGTTTATCTGGTCACTTTATCTGTATTATATCTAATTAATTTATATTCATAAAAAATAATGATATCTTTTTAAATATTCATTTCAGAGCTTTAAATATAATACATTACTTATCTTCTAGGCCCTTTTCAAAACTGACATAACTCAATGAATTCCTAATGACTTACATTATACAGGGTGTTTATAAATGAATGATGCAGTTTTAAAAATTAATAATAAATCTATTTATTACCTTATATAGGCAAACCTTACAGCATAAGCAGCGGCAACTGTCCAAGTTTTTTATGCATTAATCACAATCCTTCAATATATGCACCCATGGTCGCACGACACATCTACACAGTAATCAAATTCTTCCCATACGCAGTGTAGCATGTCCACTGTGATGGACTGCAGTGCATGCTTTATCTGATCACATAGTTCCTCAAGGGACACAGGCATTGAAAGTACATAATCTCGGGCATTGACCGAGTTTAAGGTAATAAATATATTATTAATTTTTTAAAACTGAACCATTCATTTATAAACACCCTGTATAATTAGATTTATTTTATGGCAATTTTTTGCAACAGTTTTTTCAAGAATAAAACCTTGTCATAAACTGAGGACTACCTGCATTAGAAACGAATACACAATAAACTCTGATTATATAACATCTACTGCACACCGGATTGTATAAAATAAATATTACGTACTTGAACCTATAACTGATGTGAATCGAATAATTTTTTCACGACGAACGTTTTCATAACCCCTTCTGGGCTCTTCTTCAGGTGAAACAGCTGGATCGAACACCAAAAACGAAATTTGAAAAAATACGAATTCTGTCGAGTTTGAATCGTTCGGATCGTTCCTTATTTCGTCACGTGATATGTTTGAACGTGATCGAAGTTAACGATGAACGTCCAAATTCAAGAGAAAGATATTATTATGATACTTAAAAACATGCGATTGTGATACATAATTTAATACTGTTCTCACATGTTCCCCAGTACCTTCTATTTTTATTTTTTATCTTATTTTTAATAAATAGTATTTCGCTGTTACTCTGTATGTAGTAGGTTTTGCCATGCCATGAAAAGGTTGATTTCATCTCTTGAATTAATACAAGTGGATGTGTCATAAGCTCTAAAAATTTCCATCTCCTCCAACCATTTTAGATGGTGCATGTGCGGTGTGGTGACGATTATCTGCACTCTATTGAAGTCCGCCACTATTTCTGGATCAGTGGCGTAGGTAGAGAGTGAAGTTGTATGTCTGTTACGTTGTACATCCGAGATGTGCTCTTTTATCCTAGCCCCTAATGAACGTTTAGTCGATCCTATGTATACCAAATCCCTGTTAAACCGTTTATCTCTTAAGAGGGATTGTATAGACTCCTGATAACTTTTCCACCCTGGATTGGTCCTTTTCGTTGCGTAGGATATTGAACAAAGTGCTGCACCTTCTGTATGTTAAGGTAAGTTTCTGTTCCTTTGCGATGGTGCTGTATAGAGACCTCAATAGTGGGTTGAACATGATAGGTATCCTCATATTTTCCGTAGTGTTGCTAGTGTGTTGCGTGATCACTGTAGTGGTGGAAGAAGCCTGTGGTTGTTTATGGCCCTCAGAGATTTTTTGTATAATATTTTGGTAACCATGGGACCTAGCAATGCTTTCCAAGTATTTTAACTCTTCTTCTAGCGCTAGTTGTGTAGAATTAACAGGGATTTGGTATACATAGGATCGACTAAACGTTCATTATGGGCTAGGATAAAAGAGCACATCTCGGATGTACAACGTAACAGACATACAACTTCACTCTCTACCTACGCCACTGATCCCGAAATAGTGGCGGACTTCAATAGAGCGCAGATAATCGTCACCACACCGCACATGCACCATCTAAAATAGTTGGAGGAGATGGAAATTTTTAGAGCATACAACACATCCACTTGTATTAATTCAAGAGATGAAATCAACCTTTTCATGGCATGGCAAAACCTACTACATACAGAGTAACATAAATATAACAAATAAAAAACATAAGATAAAAAATAAAAATAGAAGGTACTGGGGAACATGTGAGAACAGTATTAAATTATGTATCACAATCGCATGTTTTTAAGTATCATAATAATATCTTTCTCTTGAATTTGGACGTTCATCGTTAACTTCGATCACGTTCAAACATATCACGTGACGAAATAAGGAACGATCCGAACGATTCAAACTCGACAGAATTCGTATTTTTTCAAATTTCGTTTTTGGTGTTCGATCCAGCTGTTTCACCTGAAGAAGAGCCCAGAAGGGGTTATGAAAACGTTCGTCGTGAAAAAATTATTTGATTCACATCGGTTATAGGTTCAAGTACGTAATATTTATTTTAATAAACTCTGAGTTTAGCAGACAAAACATCTGGTCCTAGCATAATAATAATATTAATGTATTTTTATATTGTTTAAGGAGAGACTTCTGCAGACAGATTTCCTATTCTTCCTATTCTCCAAAACCACTTAAACAGTGCATTTATAAATATCATGCTTATCTTCACTGTTTCAAAATTTTTTGTCCCCTCTTAAACTTGTCAAGTTTTAACAATTTCATTTTTAAACAGTATGCCGACACTCTTTACATCAAACATTGAGAGACTGACATCAGCATTTATTCCTTGAATAATGGAAGGGAGGTATTAAGAAATTTGAAGAATTTTGAAAAAGAAGAGAACAATAAAAGCAGAATGAATTGAATGAATTTCATGTCAAGGGAAAACTGACAAACATCCTGCTTGAGAGGCTTAGGGTTAGTTAAACAAGTTTTAATCTTGAGGTTAATTGCACTTTAATATACAGAATTAGCCTTGATGTTTTGCATGAGTCAATCTTTTGGATAAACTGCCAACAAAGTTAATTGGTCAATTTTGGGTGTCTAAAATTTATTCTGTAGATTAGTGAAGAAACAAGATGGCTGACCAGCTCTGATTCCTATGTGGATAATCTTTATTTACATTATTTAAATAAAGTGTATCCTAATCTGAAGAAACGGTTTAAAAATGGATTAGATTTTATATTGAACAACAATTGTAAATTTCAAAACTTTATTTCAATTTAGAAAGCTGAAGTTTTATGTTAACTGTCAGAGTTAATTGAATCTTACTTTATACAACAGAGTAATTATTCATTTCCCATTATTAAGTACAGAACATATATTAAAATATTGTAGATATCATTTATCAAATCTAATTTATATTTTCATCTACAATCTATTGCCAACATCTAAGCTTTTACTTACTCATTTTTCATTCCTCCAGCTTGTTTATTACTGTTCTTTGTAATACATCAGCACAGTAAGAATTTTTAACTGGCCAATAGCTATCTGCCAAATCATGCAATACGTGCATATTTTTTTAGATTAGATTAGTGAGCAACAAGCTGACTTCCACAGAAATTATTCTACAGATAATTCGGTACTAAAAGCATTAAACTGTGTTAATTATCAAGTATAAATATATCTATAATTTTGGAAATTATGTTCTAACTAGTAGCCCGGGTCGCCCCCTAGTGGGCGACCCGGTGCTCCACAGTGGCGTATCTTTGGTCGTGGCATGAAATGTTTCTATTTTTATATTAAAATATTACCTTAACTATTTTAAACGTTATTGTTTTATCGTAGCGGTTCAAATCTATGTGGTTTTTCGTTATTCGCCCCCTAGTGAACATTACAGGCATTCCGTGACAATAATAAATTCCTATTACAAATATATTGAATTATTTATATTGTTATATTGACCAAATAAGAATTTATTGGCCAAATGAACAATAATAATTTATATTGTTAATTTAAATAATAAATAAAATTGTTAATTTAATTTGGTGTTTGAAATATGACACACGATAGGGGCGTCTCTAGTGTCCGTTATGAAACGGTTACAGGACGGACACGAAATGAATGGGTTATATATATAGATTCCAGTCTTTTACAAAATAAATCCTTTCTTAATTGCACTCTGACAAAAAAAATCAATGCACTTAAGAAAAAAAAAAAACAACTCAATTTTAGTAAATCATCATAGTTCTTTCAACTAAATATGCAAATGATAAAAAAATTAACATCCAATGAATGAATAGTCTGAGCTGCATTGCATTAGAAGTGCCATCATGATGTATATAAAAGTAAAATTCTTTCTTTGAAGGACCAAATTTCCAGTGGAGTTTGATTGCTCTTATTGTTGTTAATTGTAAACAATGACTCTCAATTGAATTTGTGCCCACTAAAACCATATCATGGAGTTTGAAAGAGAATATGTCATCAGATTAAAAGAGATGGATCGACAAATCAATGTAGCACTCAGCATGTCGGTCATGGGTGATACTGCAATTAGATGATGGTAGAACGAATGAGTTTTAAATGGCAAAGCCCAACAAAAAGCAGGCAGCGAACAGCTTAAAGTGATGACAGAATGGGAAGAGAGAGTCATTGTTCCAGCAGCTGTACTAACATCAGAGTCATCACAACTGGCCATCCAATTTGTGACCTATGCAAAAGTGACCACCAGGACCATTGCTAGGTGACTACATCAGCAGAATCTACATTCATGATGCTCATTAGCTGGCTACCACTGAGCATTATCAAGAGTGATTACAGTGGTGCTGGGCTTAAACAACATGGAATTGTTCTGATTGGGAACAAATTGTCTTCAGTGATGAGTCCCATTTTGAACTGACTCCTGATGACCAGCACAGATGTGTGTGGAGACATTCTGCTTTTACTGTTGAATGCCACATGGCCCAACAACAGGGACTTATGGTCTGGTCGCTATTTCATTTGATAGACAGATCCCCTTTTATGGTAGTCTAGATACCCTCACAGTACGGCAATATGTTGACATTCTGTGAACTAATGTGATATTGTTCCTTTCACAGCAACCCGTGCTTACTCTCCAACAAGAAAATGCCCAGCCACACATGGCATGCCTCTCACATTAATGTCTTCATGAATCTATCCCTAATTGAGCACATTTTCCTGATGGGCATCGTCTGAAACTATCCAGGTATGAAAGTGTGTGTGTGTGTGTGTGTGTGTGTGTGTGTGTGTAAAACATGTGATAAGATGACAAAAAGATCAAATTGCTTTATTAGTCAAATGAGTTGACAAAGAATAGAATGCCCAGAGACACTTATATATGGATATAATTATGTCATCTCCCCTCTCATTCGATCTTACTGCAATAAATTTAACATATACATACAATCCTGACTAATACAACTACAAGAAAGAAGAAAGGAAGGTTAGTTAGGAAATCTACCGGTAGCTAGATATGTGGGTCCTGAACTGAGTGAATATCAACAGTTCTCACTTCGTGCACGGTGAATGTATGATCCATTTGCATCCAAATGAGGGCAAAGCAGTTATTATTGAACATGTGCTGAGGCGGTTCCTTGGAACTCTCTGGAACGGTTATCCCAATTATTTCTTTGTCTCCGTTCCTATCTTGTCTATCTTGGCTCTTTCTCTCTTTTGCCTTCTGCCTTATACACTGTCTTCCGGTCACTTTCGCATGACCTCTCTCTCTCTCTTTCATGGCAAACCCAAAAGTGTCCTTTCTCCTCACCTCTGTCTAATGGTCCCCTCGGGCAGGACCCCGTCCTGTCCCTTTTGGAGATTGGCCAATCAGGACCCACAAATATTACAGTTCCTGTCATATGACAAGAAAGGGTTAAATTAAAAGCAGAAGGAAGAAGGATTATAGGAAAGAAGAGAGGAGTTCTTATTCTATATACAGTATAATTATACAACAAAATAGCAGAAAGCCACACAGGAATGTCAACAACTTAGCCAACCAATTGAACACCATCTGGCAAGAAATTTCCCAGGAACCATCCACCAACTTTATGAATCAATGCCTTGCCAGGTAACAGTTATATTCAAGCAATGGGCCAATGTCTTATTGACTTCCTCACTTTGCATAGCTCTTTCTCTGGAATAAATCATCCAATCTATTCTTAAACTGTAATAATTTCTTTTCTGTGCATTTACTTACCATGCCAGTTTTGTCCCAATTGGATAGTTCATTCTAGTGCATCAATTTTCTTGTCAGAGTATTTAAATAAAAACCAATAGGTATTGTAAAACATGCAATTTTTTTTTAACATACCTGTCTTAAGCAGACAAAGTCTCAGTCCTGAGTGTTTCTGCTACACTCAGGTTTTACTAAGATATATTTTTTACACAGTAACAGTACAAAACAATAATCAGAAGTGATGCAGAGTTAAGAGAAATTTATAGCTATATGGCTTAATAGTGACATTAATCAAATGTGTTTTGCTGGTAATGTGTGTTTAAATTAAACTCCTTTTTAACATTTAAATTCTCTCAAAACATTATGAAGCAGTATTAAAGGGAATAATTATTGTATATATATAAAAAAAAAAAAAATGAAACCAGAGATGTCAATCATCATCAATTTCATAACTTTGTATTGTTTTCATAACTTAATGAAATTGATTATTTGAAAATTTTTCCCTCCACAAAAATCTTAAAATTCAATTTCAAACTCCTGATATTTGAGAACTAAGAAAATACAAATATATATGTATAATGAATCAAATCACTAAAGATTAAAAAAAAACTATGAAAACATTTTAAAATTACAAACAAATAACTTGTATAACCTTAATCTATTTTCAATTATCTTTAATGAAATATAAAATGGAATTAGATAATGATAATTATTTAATGTTAAAAATTTAAACAACTTACATCATTTTTCTCTGATAATGCAGTATTTTGTTTTATTCCAACAGAATCTTGATTACTTTCTTCTGTACCACTATCTGTAGTTTCACATGACACATTGATTTGATCACCATTGATTACATCTTTATGGCATTCTAAATGATCTTTCCTATTCTTGGAATCTTCAATTTCAACTTGTTCATCAGTTTCTTCTTTTTTAATTTTAATTCCTATTGTAAAAACAAAATATATTTAAATTACAATAATTAATTATTTAGCTTCTTTAATGATTGAAAAACTAAAAATCTAAAATCAATTCATTCTTTAATAGAAACAATAATGTTAGTGCTTTTGTTCCTGTAAATTATAGTTTGCATGCATAAAGATTAACACAATTTAATGTATAACTAATCAATTTTATTCTTGTAAGAAGAAAATTTTTTTCAAAACGATATTAAAAAAACTACAGTTTGGCATGAAGTCATTAATCAATATTGAAAAAAAAATTTATATTTCAACATTAACATTAGACCTTATATGAAAAGTTTACTTTTGAAGTGAGATATATTGACTCAGTTATGTAGAATTAAATTTAAATAAAATATAATTATCAATTTAATATAAACAAACAAATTATTGTATTACACTCCATGTACCATACATCAAATCTACACAGATTATAAAATTATTAATTTTAAATATATTTTAGCAAGATATAATTATCTATTAAATTAAGATGATGTATTTAAATTTAAAAATCTCATTAAATTTCAAAGTTTTTTCCCTCTTATTCATCTTTTCTTAACTAACAATTCTCTCAGTCAGTTAATAAACACCTTGTGATGAGTACAGATNAGAATTTATATTGGATTTTCTAAAGATGATATACTTGAATGATAAAAGTACAACATTGGATGCCAACAAAATCAGTTGGCATCTAATATTGGCACAACAAAATCAGTTGGCACAACAAAATCAGCATTTATATTGGAATTGAAAAAAAAATTTATATTTCAACATTAATTCCGCAGACGATTTTGCACTAGAATAAGTCAGAATATAAAATAATAATAATAATAAGAGTTTAATAGGAAATGAGTTTTTTAATTATGGAAAATTTCTCTATTTTTCAAAAATAAAAAATTATGGTACTCTGTTATGAGAGTTTATTTAAAATGATCAATTATTTATTGTGATATCACAATGCAAGCAGCAATTTTTAATTTTTAAATATACTTGCCACCTCAAATTAGTAGCGACTTGTCTTTGTACATCATACTTTTCCTGTTAGCAATAGAGTCATGCCAGTCATTATCTAACTCCTTTCAGGGGAAAATTTTTGAATTGAAATAATGTCACTTCTGGTGGGACCTCCTGCACCTAAGCCTTCCATATCAGGTCTCGACTTTCATCTGTCTAATTTTGTTCTCTAGATTAAGGAAGGACAGGCAGACAACAATGGGAATTTATAGGTATACAATTTTTTCAAATTGCAGCCCAAAAATAATTTTTATATTATCAATTATTATAAAAAAACCAAAAAACATATTTTTAGGCGTAAAGATGAATTTAAAATAAAATTTTTTTTGGCTTATCCCGTCCTGAGATACAATACAAAATAGATAAGGGATGGGCAACCCACAGCCTGCATAAAATATCAATAAATACAGTGGGTGATCGGTTAACGAACATAATCCGTTCCAAGACTTTGTTCGTTATCCGATTATCGATTTACCATAGGTTTGTATGGGAATTTGATTAATTCGTTCCGAAGACTCCCAAAAAATAAAAAAAATATATACTTTTTTTACTACATTTATTTACATGTAATAGTAAAAATACATACATATGCTGTCTTGCATTTTTATTAGTCATGTTTTATCCGTTTGTGGGGGTTAAACAATCTGTCCAATGTCGATTGCTTTTCTCTTTTCTTCAGGATTTTTCGGAAGTAATTAATAGTATTGTAATTGTAGAGATCCCCAACCCAATGAACCTTATTCTGCTTTGGTTGCCACTTGGATGATATAACATCCTCCCACTCCTTCAAAAGATCTTTAGTAGCAGATGTCGACATTGGTCCTCTTTCGTCTTCCTCTTTTCCAAAAGATAACACATTTCGCTGAGTTTCTCGGTATTCTTCATTTGAGAGTTCTTGGAGTTTTTCTGTCGTCAGATCAATTTCAGGTTCCATTATGAGCTCTAAAATGCTCTTTATTTCTCAGACGTAATTTTCATTACTCCATTAACAGCTTGAGACTTCTTGATATATCTTTCATAGCTAAGATTGAGCCTACTATAGACCTGTTCAAGCCATACTGCCTAGCAATATCAGACACCTTGTGCTCACTTTCTACCTTGGCTATTATCTCTTACTTGGTTTCTACAGTGAGCACAGTTCTTGACACTCCTCTTTTTAGGCTCCAAAATATTATCAGTTTCTTTTTTAAATAAAAAGTTCAGAAAAGCACTTACAAAAATTCAGAGAACAGAAATCAACTAGGCCACAAAAAATTATTTAAATACAAGGCCCAAATGAAATTCGAAATTTGGTATTAAAACGTTAACGAATATCCTTTCACCTTTCGTAAATAAACCCCGAAGCAAAATTTAACAAGTACCTGTCCGACAGTCTCGCGAAGACTACAAAAATTATTTGTCAGAAAGGTAAACAAAAAGCCGGAATTACAAGAGTGAGTTTCAAAATTTGGAGGAATACTATCCGATCGGTATCGAGTTGAGAGTTGATCTTACGTCTCCCACGCTCCGGAAGGTTTCGAATTGTTACCTGAAGACGAGGGAAAATCAATTGGTATTCATTATTTTCGGTTGCTTCTTTTTATGTTTATTCAGTAAAGTGTTCGTTATCCGAACATGTGTTCGTTGTCCGATCATAAAAATCTTTCGCAAAAGTGTTCGTTATCCGATTTGTTCACTATCTGAACTGTTCGTTAACTGATCACCCACTGTATATCAATTTCCCAGGTTAAGGAAGTATGCAGCAAAAATTCAAATGTTATTTTCTACAACTTATGCATGTAAATAGTTTTTCCACAATGAATTTAATGAAAATTAAAACAAAAAACTGGCTAACAGACACATCGAAACTAATTTAAAGCTAGCAGTGACTAAATATTTATATATTATTATATTATATATTTAACCAAATATTTCTGATATATTACATTTACATCAGTTCCGGAAGCTAAATTAAGTATACTTATGTTAATTTATAATTATATATGAATAAATAATTGTGATTTGCCGACATTTTTTTCCTGTTTTCTCTTGTATGCAACTCGTCTCAGTTCAAAAGTTTTGAAATGCAGCCCTTACATAGAAAAAGGTTGCCCATCCCCGAAATAGATGCTGAAACACAAATTTTGCAAGTTTTTTTTTTTTAATTTTTGAGACCAGTGTGTCAAAATATCAAGAGATGCAAAGAACCAACGGGGGAATGAAAATCTGACCAATCATCATACTTTCCCTATGTTTTATACTGTAACAGCATGAAAAGTAAAGTTATATTTGAAATTAGGATTTCACATCTGTCTTATTCTTAATCTTATAATAAATAACTATTAATCATCCAAAATTATCTTAAAATATTTTATTTAGAAGTATAATATACTAAAGTAAGAAAACATTTAGTAATAAATAAAAAGAGAATGTCTTTTGTCATTAAGTTATTATCAAACAAGAATTGTTGTACTTAAAGTAAAAATGTTTTAAAAAATTTAAAACTATTTTCACATGTTACAGAACAATAAAACTCCAAAAATGTACAAAACCAGAACTAAAAATAAAAATTTAGAAAATCCAAATGTAACTCATAACCTGATTAAATTTATAACGTTGGTTTGTCCAAACACTAAAGATGATAAATAAATTGTACTTTTGTATTTCTTCAACTATTATGATTTTGGAAGGAAATAAAGTTCCTAAAATTTACTACTGAATTTTGTAAGTTTTGGTTCTTGTTTCATTCATATTTGATTTCGTAGTCTTTTACATATGAACATATTTTAAATAATTTCTTATATTTTAACTGAAATCATTGTAATTCTTTTCATCATCAAGTTACCATAAACATAGCATCACTCTTTAAAATGTTTCATTCTTCTAATGATGAATTAATGTTCAAAAACGTTTGAATTTGAAAAGAAATTTTTTTCTTTTGTATTATATTATTTCTTCTGAATAAAACTGCTTTCACAAGAGTATCAAATCAAAAATTCTAATCATCAGTTCCTATATTAGGCACTATTGATCAGAATAGCATGAAACTTAACATGCAAGTGAAATATTATGCAACAAAATAATTGTAAAGCAAAAATTTAATATAAATTATTTGAAACCACAAAGAAAAAGAACTAATAAATCTTTTTTGTATGAAAAAATTATTAATATGGGAATGGTTCCCTCCTGCATGTACAGTACATTCATTTCAAAGCAATTTTTCATGCTGGTTACAATGTTTATTAGCTCTGTCAAGAGCAAAGCCCATTATTGAACAAGAATATCTTTAAGCTCCTGAAATGTTCTTAGTGAAGGTTGACAAAGTGTAACTTGTCTCCATAGATCATATACTTTCTATGAGATTTAGGTTCAGAGATCTTGCTGGCCTTTCATATGACAAATACATTCACTGGAAGAGATTGTCCTATAGACTATAGACCTATGTATACAGACATTATCACCCGTGAAAATAAAATCTATACTCACAGCACCTTAAAGCCTCACATGGTGTTCCAAAATCTGGATCTCAATATAATTAAACCTAATACCACCACCTGCAAATTGGTCTCTTTTTACAATGTTCATGGGGATGTACAGGTATACCTCGCCTTACGTTGGTAATTGGTTCCAGGAAAACGACGTAAGTCGAATTTACTTGTCTCTGAATCTACTTGTCACTAGGCTAAACCATAAATTACTATTCCCAGTTCTGTATTTTACTTATTAATGCATTTTTAATAATATATGGTTAATAAGAATCTATTTTAAGCTTACAAACAAATAAATTTTAGTTTTTAATAGAGTACAGAAAAAAGTAATCTAAATTTACGAATGCATGTACTGTAAATACAGTACATACTTGTAAATGTATATATTTTAATATGATTTTATGTGCTTTAAACGCTTTTCTAGTGATATTACGACTTCAATATTTGTGGCGGACGGACTGTAAAGTCGAATAAAATGACTTAAACTTGATTTTTATTTTTCCGTATACTTTTTTGACAAATGACGTATAATCGGGAACGACGTAACTCGAGGTATACCTGTATTGAGTTTCTTTGCTCGCTCTAGATTCTAATCTAAAGAGAATCATTCTGTAGGCTTGCTTGGACTCAGTGAGCAGTACATTGCCCATACATTTAAAGTTCAATGTGTAAGATAATATTCTTGACATTATCTTAAATGAGCCCACACGCATCAATATATTCCATCCCTGTGTACACATTTTTGTCATCTGCCAAATGTGTTATAACACATTAGGCATATGACAAAAATAGTATTCACCTGAAGACTTCTTTAGACTGGTTGTTGTGAAATTAATACACTGGCAGCTGTAGACAGCTCTACAGCTCTGTCTGCCAGACATTCTGTAATCATGCGCTGTTGTTAAATAATAGTCCTGTTGAGAGGTGATAACTCATGGACATCCACTTCCTAGTTGATGTCCATCATCTCCTCATCTTTAAAAATCTGGCCAAAGCTTGGATATGACATTCTGAGCCCTGGACAGTATGTGTCTGCAAATAGTCTGCTTCTAACCTTCCAATAATTCGTCCTTTCATAAAATAAACACAATGTAATCATTCATTCCTTTAATCAGAAACAACTGCTAAAATTGTTGAATTGTCTTCATGACAGAAAGGGGAATTAAATAAAAAAAAAAAATGTTGAGAAATTCAGAATTAAAAAGAATCAGTTTTGAAGAAAATGAGTGCTGTGTAAACAAAAGGAATCATTGGTCAGTTTTAGCTAAGACTTTAAACAATCATCCTTGGACTTTAATTGAAAACCACCACTGTTGACTTCTTAAAATACATGGAAATAAATGTTTTTTCATTAAAATTAAGCACTGTCACTCTGCATGAGACTCACATAAAACTCTCCTTTTAATGAGAGATGTCACAAATAATTGTTGTGATTTGTGCAAGTCAACTACTTGGACCCGATAGCACCACATCAACACCACAAAGCCTCAAAATTGAAAATATGATAATAAATCATAAAATCAAAAATTATTGGTCAAGGTAACTTTGTTAAAATTAAATACTCACCATTGAGTGAAATATTATAAAACCATAAAAATCCATGTTTTTCCATACAATCACCACAAATCATTTCACTGTAATCATGATTAGTTGGAAAATCTTTTCCTAAATGCTTGAAGGAAAAAAATAAAAATAAAAAAGTAAGTTGTTTGTAGAGAAACATAATTGACATAATATACATAACTGAAATATAGTTATTGAAAAGATCATTTATCAAATAATTACAGAAGAATTTTAAAATCTAAATAAATAAATAATAATAGCTATTATGGAATTTGATAAAATTTAAACTAGCTTTACTGGAGAAAAAAACCATGTCTTTTTGGAAAAAACTCTCCAGTAAATATTTTCAGATTAAAGACATTTTCTCCATTTTCAGATTCAAATACAATCTTATGTTTTATTATTCTGTAAATTTTGTTATACCTAATAAATAATCATTGTTATAACATGTGTGCCTATATAAACAGTTTTTCTGTATAAAAAAAATATTTTTTCCAGATGTAGTATTCTTACTAAGTCAATTTTAATTAGTCATTGAACCAGATAAATTTTCCGCTCACCAGTTAAAACTGTTTTTTCCTTCTTTTTTAACCAATCAGAAATTTTTTAGATAACTGAATTTTGGATTGAATTTGCTGTTGAATTGTAATATTAGTATTTTTTTGTTGTCATTAACTATCAATTAAAATGCTTTAAGTAAATTTACAGCATTGCAAGTTAACCATCAAAAATTTTTCCTGGAGAGCATTGTAGATTAAGTTTAAAATTACAATAAATAAATGTATAATGTAACAAAATAAAAATATAAAAATTGAAATAATTATAAGAATATTGCTAAATATCCAGTTCAATTCTTAAATTCATTGGCTACTCTCCTTATTGGCTTCATTTTAAATAATCATTTGCATGTTATAGTAGTGGAATCTCTCTCTTAAGTTAATTTCATTCAATGTATTCTTCACTGTTAATTAAAAAATATATATACAGTATAACCTCACTAATTCATAGTTGTTGGGGAAAAGCATAGTTCAAATTAGTGAGGATTTTACTCAAATGTGTACTGTAATCCAAAAAGTACACTTCATTTAAAGTCAAATTTTATTGTGCACTTTAAATATGAACAAATATGTGATTTGATAAGTTTTTACAATGCAGCAGCAGCAGCATCATTCTTGTCATTGCAAACATTTACTAATTTGAGCTTTAAAAAAAAGCAAACTATAACAATTATGAAAAAATAGAACTTTAATAAAAAGAGCTATAACACATTCTTCTTTAATGATACACAGAAAGCAAGAGTTCAACTTTATTATGCAAACAGCAATTGTACATGGCTTTCTTAGAAATATAATTAAAGGTCTCATCAAAGCAGCAGTAGAAAAGTATGAATTTGGTCTTAATAAAGACAATAAGAAGGAAGATCAAGCTACTAATAAGATGATGTGTGTAATTACAGGAGTAAAGATGGCCTGTTTAAATAAGAGTTATGCTAAAAGGCATGATGATATTTCTTTAGCTATCAGAAGTCTCCCTTCTATTATGCAACTACTTCGTATGAATAAGGAAAAGAGAAAGCAAATATATAAGACAGGAATATATATGGTCAACCTTAAAAAACGAATGTGTTGCCATAGCATTCTGTACATCAATTCTATTATATAGAATTGATGTACAGAATGCTATGGCAATGCATAAGAGCATTATGAATCTGTATTAAATGATAGAAAATGTGCTACAGCATTAACAAAATGGGCACTTGATATGAAGTACAATTTTCCTGGAAAAATCCTGTCATAGTAAGAAACTGGATCGATAAACGTACGTTAAGGATTATGGAACAATGTTATATACATATATTTTCATGCAAAATTAAAGTAATTAATGCAAATGACTCCATGATTTTAGATTGTAGACGGGTTGATGTTTTAAATTCTCAAAATTACAACTCTTATGTGCAGAAAGTGATATCGCAATTTACCTAGGAAAGTAATTAACGATAAGATGACGGAAACTTGTTCAAGGTCATAAAGTGGGGGTAGCAAGTAGCTTACATCTTTGTGTTATACCATTATTTCGAAGAGTAGTTTTATTATTCAATCTTTGTGTGTACTATTTAATTAATTAATTTATTATTTATATTATAAGACAGGGATGTCCAACCCTTGGCCCAAGACAAGTTCCAAAGCGGCCACTAAACGTGTAAACAAAACCGACAAATTTTTAAAATTTTTTTTTATTTATTTCAATGGCAAACTCAAAAAAAGTTTCACAAAGCCGTAAACCTTTATACATATTTTATTTTTGAGTAGAAAGGAAATATTTTCAAATACTTGGAAATGCATGAATGAGAAAAGTATAAAGCTGAAGTCTTGACTCAAGTAATAAAGCTGGAGTTGTGACTCAAAGGAGTCTAGAGTCAAATTTGGGGAAAAGAGAGAAAGACCAAAAGATAAAAAGTAGTCAGAAAGGTTAAATAGACCTTTTGTTATGCACATATTGACTCTTAATTTTCCAACCTTCCTCACTTCTTTACCTTTCTTCCTTTCCGTGCTTTTGGGTCTATAATCCTTTGAGTCCCAACTCCAGCTTTATTTAGTATTCCTTCCAGCGTTGCAAAATTTGGCTACTTTGCACCAAATTTGGTACCCAAATTTTGTTAATTTGGCGTAAAAAATATCATTTGGTGCATTGACTACTTTTTGGGCTACATATTTTTAAATATATTAGTTGAATAAAAATGCACTTTAAAATGGTTTTTCGTCATTTTTTATTAATTAGAGACTCAAATAAAACAAATATTTGTGTTTGTCATATAAATGTTTGTTTGTCTCTTTTATAATAAACTAGCAGACCCTGCCACACATTGTTGTGACTCAAAAAGTATCTATTATAAATGTATAACACTTCCCCTATGGGGGGGAATTTTTCGAAAAATCTCTTCTTAGTGTACATTCTCTTGACGTACTCTATTAAAACACAATCAAAAATGCAAAAAACTGCATCTAAAATAGTATAATAGAAGCCAAGTTCTTCATGGTAAGCCTTAATCCTGTCCCTCTCCGCCTGAGTGAAGGGAATTTCAACATGTATATTATATAAAAACACATGCATATTCGAATTCAACATTGTGTCAAAATTTCAAAGGAATCGGTAGGAACAAACGAACATTACATTTTTATTTATATAGATAGATAGATGGTGATCTGGGTTTGTTTTTAGTTCATCCTCACAGAAAAGCAAACTTAGGTCGTCATACTTGCGGAGTTAGAGCCATCTGTTGGATATAAAAGCCTTAATCCTAGACGATATCTTTTAATTTATATGAATGTTTAACAGAATAATATACAGCCTATGTCCACCCTGAAGTTCCATTCTAAATATTGGTGAAATAATTTTTGAAATCGGACTAGTAGTTTCGGAGATTACCTCCTACATCCAAACTTACAAACTTTACCTCTTTATAATATTAGTATAGATCAGGGGTGTCCAACCCGCGGCCCGCACGCGGCCCAAGGCAAGTTCCAATGCGGCCCAATAAACGTGTAAACAAAACCGACAAAATGTATTAATTTTTTTATTATTTATCTATTTCAACGGCATAAACTTAAAAAAGAAGTTTCACAAAGCCGTAAACTTTTATTCGTATTTTATTCTTGAGTGGAAAGGAAATATTTTCAAGTACTTGGAAATGTGTGAATGAGGAAGGATTATTAAATAAAGCTGGAGTTGTGACTCAAAGAATTATAGACCCAAATTTGGGAGAAGGAGGGAAAGATGAGAAAAACAAAAGATGTAGTAGTGAGAAAGATTAAATAGATCTTCTGTTGACCCTTAATTTTCCAACCTTTCTCACTATTTTATCTTTTGTCCTTTCTTTTTTTTCCCTGCACTTCCTTTGAGTCATAACTCCAGCTTTATTTAGTATTTTTTCCAACGTTGCAAGATTTGGTAAAGTAGCTACATTTGCGCCAAATGTGGCTACTTTTTTTGTTTGACGTAAAAAATATCATTTGGCGCTTTGGCTACTTTTGGGCTACATATTATTTATATTAGTTGAATAAAAATGCACTTTAAAATGGTATTTCGTTGCTTTTTATTAATTAGAGACCAAATAAAACAAATATTTGTTTTTTTCAAATAAATTTTTGTCTCTTTTATAATAAATGAATTTATCTATTTCTAAGTAAAAATTGAAAGTGTCTGTAGAAGTAATTTTTAAAATATCCTTTTTCTTGATAAAGTTTTAATACTTATTATTATAATCTAGACATGTTAATCCTTAAATATACTTGTATATTGAACCACAGCGGCGGCCTTATCCATTGCGAGGCTCTGGGCGGCAGATCTTTGCGAGGCCCTTGTCCTTTGTGCAAAGTATGTGAATTGAAATAGTAGGCACTTATTAATATTAATATATACTGTACTATAAATTAAATTTATTTTATTGTTATAACTAATAGCCAAGGATAAAATAAAAAGTTTATGTATCAACTTTTTTCTACTTGGTTGTTGCGCGAGGCCCCTCCAAGAGTGAGGCCCCGGGCGATTGCCCTGCTCGCCACCCCCTAAGGCCGCCACTGTTGAACCACAAGTATATATTATATGTACAGTACTTGTGGCCAGTGGCGTAGTGTGGGTGTCAGCCGCCCGGAACGAAGGAAAATTTCACCGCCCCCTTATTTAGGTATCTCAATTTAAAAGACTAAAATTCAGTTTTGTCACAGAATAAGTAATGAAAAATTCCGTGCTAGTGTTGCCACCTTTTTAAAATCTCCGACCTGGACGGCAGGTGAGATTTGTTCGAACAGAAGTTCCTGACAAACGCGTATATCATTCGCAATGCAAAGAATAATTTGCAGTGCATGCCGGTTCTAAATCAGTTACAGTTAGCGACTAGGGAGACTTGGATAGGAGTAACGCAAGTGACCTAGCTCTATTGGATATTGCAGGTGTATATGATTACAAATGAATCGCACAATGAAAGAAAAAAAAAAACAAATAACAAAAATAAAAAAAAATCAACAGGTTGCGCACGATATCCCCGAACGGCAAGTCGATTCGCGGACTATCCGGATGGATGGTAACACTATTGCCGTGCTCATTTCAATCAGTCCGAGTTGTAGGTGGACGAAAATATGAAATAAAATGGTTTAAATTCCTACAAGATATTATTATTATTTATTGTAA